CCGGGAGAAGTGGTCTCAGATAAATACGCCGGACTCTGCTGGGACGGCTTCTCGGCAGATTGAAAACGGTTCCAGGAGAAGTAGTTCAGGAGTTTCAAGACGAGAGAAAGGTGATTGGTGGCCGAGAACTGCAAGTTCCGGGAATTGTGAAAATGTTCTAGGCTGCGGTATCTCATTCGTGCATCCCGCATTTATATGTGTTGGTGCTCTTGATGGGTGAGTTCCCGAACTTCGAGTCAAGATTCTTGGTTCACTATGGCATATCCTCCACAGGTTACCAAACACTCTGATATCAATGACCGGAAGGCCACATATCTGGGCGGAGATTGAGAAATGACTTGGTGGACGACGGTAAGTGTATCGAAAAAGCCCCGGAAAGACGATATAGTTAGATATCTACAATTGGGACCCAGGAGCGGTATAGCCCCCGAGGTAGTAGCCATGGGTTGGGCGCAGAAATTATGGAAAGTATACCTAGGATGATCCTAAAAATATATGTGGCAGTGAGCGTATTGGGAAATCTGCCTCAAATTTGTTGACTGATATTGGTCTAGTTTCCTGCTGGTTTTCCTCAATATCGAGGCAATCATACGGGAGACGACGGTCTCTGGTAGACGAAGGCTCAACATAATGATGGACGGGTTTGAATTAGTAAATGCATGCGGTGCAACGCTCGAACGTACAAAGGCTCAGGGCGGAGGAAAAGCGAAAATCCCGTTAGCCACACTGATGTGGATATATCGTTCGGAATGGCCCAGGGGGGTGAACGAGCTGTGTCGTGTTCTCGCGGTCGAGATAGGATCGAGGGATTTCGATAACGGCAATGTTCCTTTGATAGCGAGACTCAATCGGATGAGTTATCGGATAACCAGATCACACCTTCTGATAAGTAATCTAGTACCTGAGCAGGATCCAACTTGAGTTCTTGGGGGTTAGTGTTTGCTCGCTGAATTTAATTGCTCATTTAGTGGTACTTAGCTTTAGGCACTCAAGAAAGTATAGCTTTGGGTTGCAGGCACATGTCATTAGCAACCTCTTAGCTGATCTAGACAGCACGCTTGGTTAGGATTGTATAGTACTATATAGATTCACTCGAGCAAAAGACACCTTAGATTATTTACTAAGATAGGCCGGCTCGGTGTACTGCAAGTGATCATTACCCCCTGTGGCTCAATAAATCCTATGATACCATCTGTTCTTACCCCCCCCCCCTGCTAGTCTGGCCCTAGGCCCGGATCTACCACCGAATGGATACGAAACTCATGACAAGGAATCCCCTGAGCGGTGATCAGAGCGTTCACCACATTTACGCGATCGTACGTAGGAACATGCAGATATCTGCCCTGCGTTTAGTTACCCGGGAATTTACAAGCAGGTCAATATGCATCTGTATGGGGCGGTTGATCTCAGAAATTAAATTGCCTATTCGAATCCATCAGCCTTATTCCCCATCAATGATGTCGACCCTGTCCATTTTTTCGGGAGCATGCGATCGGGTCCCGCCAATCCCGAACCTGCCAGGCGCAGTCGCCGCAGGGATGGTATGGTACGATAGTTACACCAGCCGTTAATGGTATCATGTGGTACAAATATTTAAATTGTTGTTCTGCAGGTTAGGGTTAATTAGATGGTAGGTTGTGCTACTGAGTTTCTTGAAACGGAATATGTGGGTGGTTAGGAGAATATTTGGCATTTTGCCTAGAGGTAGTGATTCGCATTGGAGGAAGGATTGGAGATCTGTTGTGCCTTGATGCACAAGTTTAGGACGCTTAAAGTTATTTGAGGGTTTTTTTTTCGGAATTTTTGAATGGGAGACGTCAGGCCGCTTGAAATTCAAAAAGGGGACATAGTGAATCAGGACATAGACCTAGAGAAGTTGTGCGGGGTGCGGGCGATATAAACTTTAGGGCCGTTTCTCCCGGATTTCTTCAAAGCTGGGGGACTATCCTACGAAGGAGTTCCTACCATATAACAGAAAAAGCACTTCGGGTTAAACACCCCTCTTTCTGTCATCACCTACTCCCTGTCATGGCGAGTGGGAGTTAATTAAGGCATTTCGTGGCAGAAGTTGCCAGCGGAGAACCCTCTACGGCCTACATCTACAGCCTAGATTGGCCCATCACCGGTATTATTTCTCAGAGATTCCGTTAGGTTATGGTGCCTGTGGTTTCTCTTTCGGTACATCACTATCAGCCATTCCCACAAATGAGTTTATCGGATGGCTGGTCCCTCCTCTCCATCCCTATACAATTCAAAGACTCACTTTCTGGAACCCCCATCCCGTGCTCATAATCTCTTGTTGGGGAGGCTCAGGCTCTAGTGTCGGCATTCTGGATAGCCTCCCACTCGTTGATTGGGAGACCGACGACATGGTCTACCCTTCGCATGATAGGGGCGCCACAATTTCCAGGGTCTACGCCGGAAGAGCTCTAACCCTGGCTCTGTTCTAGCCAACCCCTTCAAGCATTTATCATAATTCGCCCTTGCGGGATGCGGTGTTTGGACTGTATGAGATAATTTCGGGTGGCGCACGGAGTGGCAGGTATGGGACCCGGAGGACTTGTCCTCAAGTTTGGCTTTTAGTATTATTGTTGGCTTAGGAAGACGGTTATGGATGAGGGAAGCTTTTTTCTTGGTCTAGGCAGAGATTTTGTGCTTGAGAATTCTGTGAAAATCGATGTATGGCAGTTGTGTCAAGGGGGTTGTCCTGATAAATATGGATCAATATGGGAAAGGCCTATCATACAATTGAGACTCGGAGAGATAATTCTGAACGCTAAGGGGAGTCTCTTGAAGAGGAGGAGAATAGCCCTTTACCCTTCCGGAGCTGTGGCTTAACTTATGCTGAATCTAGAAAGCTATAGCATGCCATGAACCGCACTGACACCCCGGCTTCAGAATATATCTAGATACGCTCTTTAAGTATTCTCGAGAAAAAAAATTCCTTGATAATTAATTCCACAGGACTTCGCCTCTGCCTCAGGACTCCTTAGGAGTGGCTACGACTATTATCCTGATAACACAAGGACAGAGTGTTCAACTCAGTTCTGGAATCCAGTTGTAACCGGACCAACCGCTATACACTCTGGCTCGTGACCCGCCCAAATAATGACGGATCCGGAATTTACTAGTGCAGTGGGCTATGGGGTAAACCAGACTGCCCCCTTTTTTTTTTCATTTTCAGGACGCTAAGGAGGAATCCCAACCGGAAAAAAATTACTCCATTGTGGGTGTGTGTACTCTCAGCTAGAGTTACTGTTCAGAATTGAGATGGGTAGTGTTCAAATGGCACCGTACCTTATCGTGTTAAAAACTGACAGAACTGCAAACTGCGGATGTAAGATGCAATACTGGTAAGTGGCATCTCGCCTAGGCGTACTACAGGATTTGATTGTTCGTAGTGGTGTCTTCTTTCGGACCTCTTGTGGCGGATAGTGCTGATGAATCAGTTATCCTTACAACAAGTGGATTTCTGTTCGTGAGCATTCATAGATTAGAACGTGGTTAAGTAAAAAGACTTGAGCATGAGGTTTTGGGATTAAAGTATACGACGAAGACAGTATCTGTGAGGGTCTGGCCTGGAAGAACTAAGTTTGATCTATGACACTCTTGCTCGAAATGCTGAGGGTTAATTGTGCATCTAAAACCCTAATTGGGATTTTCATTTTCCCTTTTGTGCACCCAGCCCCCCCTTAGATCTTTATCGAGATCTGATGTTTATTTTTTAAATGATACTGGCAAGCTAAGGCCATGTGGTAAGTTTGTAGTAAGTTGATCTACCGTGTCGTTTTGGATTGTGAACTTGCTGTTCGAACTTATTTGCCGAGGGTGATAGGATGTGACGCTGCGTTTTTAGGATTCCTAGTTAGCTCTGGGATGTGGATGGCGAATCAAGATGGGAGATCGAACTAATGCAGCGGAGTCAAGTTGACTATTTTTACATTCTGATATGTAATTTAGCCATGCTTCTGGAGTGGAGATTTACTGTCCTTGTTTGCTTTCCCTAAATTCTTGTCTTCCTCTCTCTTCTTGGTCCGAACTTCTTTCTATACCTTTTATAACACAATTTAGTACGCACTTGGTCATGCTGAATAAGTAAACGTTCACCCCTACTGCCCCACTTCCTGGGCAATGACTCTCATACGTTGGCAGCTGGGATTGCGGATTGGCAGGCAATGTGATTTCCTCTCCACCCGTATTTAGTCGAGGTTCATGTTAATGGTACGGTTGCCCCTTTGCCCCCCCCCTCTTGCGATCCAGCCTCGAATACAGCGTTGTTCCGGACGCCCTGGGGAGTGGGGAGAGGGGGGGAAACCCTGGGGAATTCCTTGACAGAATTGGGTGAGACTTATATCGCACTCCACCGAATCTCTTCCTTTTCGTCTCCGAGCGCCTTCCAGCATCGGCAACTACATGCTGCGGTTTGTACTGTACGCTCTCCCTTAATCGAGGGGATTGTTTCCGATGTGCGACAAGCACGGCTTACAAGCGAGCTTTAGCCAGTGCTGCCCTAAAAGTGATGGTAGACCGAATACACTCTTGGTGCTATAGTGACTCGTGGCGCAGTGCTTGGGTGTATGATACTACTACGGTAGGTTATAAAGCAATTCATTGACTGATGTTCCTGCGATATAGACACCCTGCTAGGTAAGCCTGCAGTAGATCACTGCCACCGGCGGTCTATAAAACCTGTTTCCAATGGTGGTCGCCTTGCTTGGGCGTGAGGATGGGATTGACTATTTCCTTGGCATAAATGAGTGATTGGCTGGCGCTCCCTTGTGAAACAACCGCCCTGGCCATTACAAAGGGCAACTCCCGCTTCCCTTCAGCTGAAAGGATGAAATGTCCATCAACTCCTTCGATAAACTGCCGTACCGCTAGACTGTCATCCCACCTGTCAACGAACCTTATCCGCTATGAATACATCACCGACGGGGCACGGAGGATCGAGTCTCGGCGGTGGTCCTCGCCTTCCTGGCACATCGCATACCCATACAGACTATCACATGACCAATACCAATGTTGGGAATGCGTCAAACAGCTATAATAATAACACCACCATCATCGTGGGAGTAAATGAAGAGTCTCTGCGGATCCAGTCATGGTTATCGCCGCTCGAGCCCTATAGAAGGCATCAAGATGTGAGAAACCGGCGGCTTGATGGTGTTGGGGATTGGGTTCTACAAAGGAATGAGTTCGAGTCATGGTGCGAGAGCCAGGACAGCCCAGTGAATCCTACTTTGCTATGCTATGGGGGTCAAGGGGTTGGAAAGACCTACATAAGGTAGAACATTCTCTAGAAACCGTTGGCGATGCTGACAAGTAATAAAATCAGTTCGCTGGTAATTGACACCCTGCGCGAGAAAGCTCGTGGACAGAATATCGCGGTTTTACCTCTCTATTGCGATTACCAGGCGCGGAAGGACCAATTGGCCGTAAACTTGATAGGGGGTCTACTCAAGCAGGTTGCTTTGGGGGCAACAAGGATTCCGGGCGAAATTCAAAGCGCTTTTGAGGAGTCTCAGCAGGAAGGTGGCCAAAGCCTCCGATTGCCGGATATGGTGAAATTATTCGTCAAAGTAATCCGTCCCATTGAACGGGTTTACATCTGCGTTGACGCGGTGGATGAGTTACTACCGGGGGATCGGTCAGGATTCCTTCGTGCGTTGCAAAAAATTATTCAAGACGCGCCAAATACGCGGCTATTTATTACCGGGAGGCCGTATATTCGGGGGGAACTGGACAAGCATCTCGCGAAGGGGGCTCATGTTATACACATTGTGGCTGACCGGGGAGATATCGCTAGATACATAAGCCAGATGATGGACGATGATGATGGCCGAGACCCAGAACTGATGACGGAAAATCTGAAAAATGATATCATGGAAACAATGTTGGAAAATGTTTCAGAGATGTAAGTATTAGTAACTCTGTTACAACTTTGGCTCACTCGTTAATATTCTGCAAAGGTTTCTACTCGTTGCTCTAAATATCGATGCAGTCCTAGGCGAGACTACTTTGGCGAAAAGAAAGAAAATGTTGAAAAAGGTGACGACAACTGGCGTGGATCTGGACAGTGTGTACGCCCAAACGCTGCAGCGGATAAGGGAACAGATGGGTGACCGATCAAGGCTTGGTATGGAGGTACTGATGTGGTTATCCCACTCGGAGCGGCCCCTGCGGATTGGCGAACTCCGCCATGCTCTGGCGGTAGAAATGGGGTCGACCTACCTAGACCCCGAGAACATCCCTCCGAAAGATACACTCGTGGGGTCATGCTTAGGGCTTATTGTAGTTGACGAGGAGACGTCAGCAGTCCGCCTGATCCACTACACGCTTCAAGAGTACCTTTCCGGGCCCGGCATCTTTCCTGGTGCCCACAAAACACTGGCTCAGACATGCTTGGCCTACCTCAATCATGAACAGGTCAAAGCCCTTCCATCCAGGAGTGTTCCTAACCTCCGAGACATGCCCTTTCTCGAATATTCCTCTTTCTATTGGGGAATCCATGCAAAAGTAGAGCTCTCAGATTGCGCGGAATCGCTTGCACTCGAGCTACTAAACGGGTACCATAATCACGTGTCTGCTTTCTTGCTTTTCCACAAAATATACGTTTTCGGTTCCTCTTTATTTGCTCAATATCGATTTACTGGTTTACACTGTGCATCGTACTTCGGAATTATTAAGCTCGTGGCTGCTTTGATAGAGATGAAAGGCTGTAATATCGATCAAGGGGACTGTCTGGGTTCTACCCCGCTCGCGTGGGCTGCTAGGCGGGGGCATGAAGGGGTGATGAAGCTGTTGCTCGCGCGGGGTGACGTCAATCCCGATAAGCCAACCAATAATGCTCGAACACCACTCGGCTGGGCTTGTTGGAGTGGTCATGAGGGGGCTGTGAGATTACTACTCACACGTGGCGATGTCAATCCCAATAAGCCAGACTACGAGGGTCACACACCACTCTGGTGGGCTTCTAGGAATGGGTATGAGGGGGTGGTGGAACTACTCCTCACACGGGATGATATCAACCCCGACCAGCCAGACATCCATGGCGAAACACCACTCTGGACGGCTTCTTTTCATGGCCATGAGGGGGTGGTGATGCTGGTACTTAGACGGGGCGATGTCAACCCCGACAATGGAGACAATTATGGTCGAACACCACTCTGGTGCGCCTCTGGGAATGGGCATGAGGGAGTGGTGAGACTGCTTCTCACACACGGCGTTGTTAATCCCGATAAACCGGACAACTATGGTGCAACCCCACTCTGGTGGGCTTCTTTTCACGGGCATGAGGGGGTAGTGAGGCTTCTGCTCACAAGGGGCAATGTCAGCCCTGGTAAGCCGGACAACAGTGGTCAAACACCGCTCAGCTCGGCTTTTTGGAATGGGCATGGGGGGGTGGTGGGGTTACTGCTTACACAGGCTGGTGTCAACCCTCGTAGGTTAGACAACAATGGCCGAACACCGCTCATGGCTGCTGCTTCAAATGGTCGTGGCGGGATTGCAGCACTTCCCCAGGCTCGTGAGACTGCAATGTCTAGCGTGGATCAAGCTCAGTGAGGGATTTGTGTACAATCCCTCCCCGCACACGCGTGTGCCCACGGCCACTGCAACACTCTCCAAATGCATACCTGCTATCAGAACTTCTCGCGTCCCGTCCCCGAAGCCCCCCCTACTGTGCGGTATATCCGTTATCATCTTGTGGATACTTTCTCCTTCCTTTCTCTTCCTTCAGTTTTTGCTATGCCCGATATTGTATAGGGCAAAATCGCTTGCGCTCGAGCTATTAAGCCGGTACGATAGCCATATATCTACTGCCTTGCCTTTCAGTGAAGCGTGCGGTTCCCGGTCTTTCTTCTTTCCTCATTACATATTTACTGGTTCGTGCTATGTGTGCTACCTCAGGGTTGGGGTCGTGGCTACTTTGATAGAAACGAAAGGTTGTGATATTAGTCAAAGAGATTGTAGGGGTTATACTCGAGTACACCGCTCAGTTGGGCTGCTCACCAAGGGAATGAAAGGGTGGTTAGGCTACTCATACGAGACGACGTCAATCCCGGCCGGTCGGAAGATGACGGCTAGACACCGCTCAGCTTGGAAAGGCGCTAAGGGGGTCGTGGGACTATTACTAACACTGGGTGATGTCAATCCCGATAGGCCAGGCAGGACAATGAGCGCTAAAAGCCCTTGGGTGGGCTTCTAGGGAGGGGTATGAAGGGGTGGTGCGGCACAGCTTGCACCGGATGATGTCAACCCTCGTGAGCCAGACCGCAATTACCGGACACCGCTCATGGACACCTCTGCATGGGGGTGGCGATATTCTAGCGCCCTTCCAGGCTCGGACAAAGGTAGTCTCTGGTGTGGATTAGGGTCGAAGAGGGAACCCTTATATTCCCTCTCTATCGCCTACGTACACCACTTTTGCAGAAGTTTCAATATACATACCCGTTCTCATCACAGCCCCCGTCCTCTCTCCAAGCTCTCTGCACCCACCCCGTGTATCCGTTACCATCTCGTGGACCCCCTCCACCCTTCTTTCCTGTTCTTCCTAAACCCTGTCGCTCATATACCTCGGGTGTGGGCTTGTTGCAAGCACTTTGCTTTATATAATATTGGCGCTTACCATTCTCGAGCCTTTCTGCTTCTGGCGTATGTTAGAGAAGGGTGATACTAATGTATAGAGATGCCCTGGACTGCGGTTCGATATGTTATCATACTGCTTTAAGACTTTTCTTCTTCTTTGCATATACAGTACATTCTCCCCCTGCGCAGTCGTAACCCGCCAAGGTCTAGTACGGCCGCAGAGAGATCTTCCGTAAAAGAGTGGGGGAACTCATATTTCCTACTCCCCCCCCCCCACCAATTCCTGCTGTATGTCATGGCAGAAGAAGATATCACCTAAACACCAATTTTGTATCGTGTAGGGAGGGCTCGCGCCAATTAACCTCGCTCATTCCAGATTTGGGCTATTGTGGATACACTGAAAGGCAAGATATTGGAAGCACCGCAAGTTGTATCATTCTTCAGGCGTATTCCCTCTGTTTTTTTTTTTTTAAAAAAAAAGAAAAGACAAGGAATGGAGGCAGAATCCCGGCGTGTTTTTCTCCTCTTTCTTTTTTCCCCGTTTAACATTCCTGGGTTCCTCGAGACGGGCGAGTCCACCTTCGTGTCCATGATCGGTAGTCTCTGGAGCGAAGATACCAGCTCTGATCTGGTATGACGGAAACGATTGTAAATTGACTGACTGTAGAGAAAGGATGAACGAGCGAAAATGTGAATGAGTAAAGACTGGTTGATTCGCATAAAGCAATAAGGGAAAACATTGTACTTTTATCCTATGAAAAATATATGACAAGAAAGACGACTAGAAAAGCTTTTCCTTCACATGACACAGGCTACTGGTAGTTGGTATAATAACAGGAGTGTCCCAGATGTTGGTGGGATGGAACAAAAACAGAAACTGATGCAAGATAGAAAAGTAAAACAATAGATGAGTCAGCGGCTGCATCGACAGGTTTCAACAATTAGAATCTGTGCACAGGTGCTTGTGCATCATTTATGCCATTCATTGGCTTGGATTTTTTTTTTCTTTGTTTATTTTTTAGTTTTTTATTGTGGTAGTGTGCTAGGGGAATACATTGCGCCATTGTAAACCGAAACCGTAAATTAACGCTGCAAGGAGGGGCAATATCGGAAACCAGTATCTCGTAATATCAAATCCGTTCCCGGGTAATGGCATATTTCGGGTTGTCAGCCTGTAGAGGTCGTGGGACGGCGACATGGGGGATTTCGGAATGAGGTTTTGGGAACGTGTTAGGAGGATTGCGTAGAGGAGGACATCTCGGGTAGGGGGGGGGGCAAGTTAGACCCATGAAATTATTATCGGTAATGCTAGTACCTAATTGTGTATTCAAGGGACTGACTTGGGGGTTCTTTCCCCCCTCCTTACGCGATGTGTAAATCTCCTCTCCCCTCTTAGATCTTGGCTAAGATCTCAAAAGGGTTTTATACCAGCCCGGCTAGAGGGCACCTTGTGAGTGTATGGGAGGCTACCGTGTCGTATTGTCGTTGTATGGCACGCTTTGCGACTATACGAACCTGATTTTAGGGCGAGTGATAGGAAGTGACGACTGGTTGTTTGACTGATTTGCTGTTGGCTTGGGGCATAATATGATTCTGCTATCTGGATTGAGAAATATGGAAGGAGGTGGAGACGGTGCAGTGGAATTAAGAAAGAGGTATCATATGCGACATTGGAGATTAGCCATTCTGTGGGAGCGAGGGGCGGTGGGGATGGGGGGCGGCCGATGCAAGGGAAAGAGATTCTCTATCTTTACTGTTTGTTATCGGGAGTAATTGAAGCTGGGATAATTGAACCGCGTGATATGCGAGCAAGTATTGTGCCACCCGTTTCACGCAGCAGGGCTTAAAAAAAGACCTTAGGAATGGAGAGACGCACAGCGCTGGTGAGGCACATAAAAGATACACTAGGCCTTACATGATGAGGCAACTGCCACAGCATAGCACATAGTTTGATTATTCCTCCTTTTGCAGTAGCTGCACGGGAGTTTGGGGCAGCGGGTCCAAAGCACCTTCCCCGCCGGCATTACCTTCATCGTGTATCAGCTTCTGGGTATGCCGCTAATTTGGATCCACTTTTCCAGAGTAGACACTTAATTCTGATGGGGTTTAGAGCGGTTTTCCACAGCAGCCGAATTTATGTACCGTGCTGGGTGGAGTGGTACAGTGATAAATGCAGTCGCAATCTTCTTGGTTGGTGACTCCATTTGTCACGC